CACATTCTCAATGAGACTTTCAGATGGTACTTCACTCAGCCGTTGTAATTGGCGCCGAGGAGGCCTGGTTGTCATTCGGGTCATGATTCTCTCTCTCAGGTCAGCAGCTGTCTCGTTCAGCTCTGTTTCGCTCATTGGGGCCGTGTATCCCCTCACTGGGTGGGGACTTTTAGTTAAGTCTCCACAGTCCTGACATCCGGGTTCCTCCTTTTGCCGTAGCATTTGTGTTGTATCTCGTCAATCTCAAGTTGTGATAGCAGTTGCCGTTTGCGGATGTTGGAACACTGAGCTACTAGTTGTTTAGCGCTTAGTGTTGACTGGGGATGTCGAAGTAACCATTCCTTCCCTAGTCTTTGCATGTAACCTCTCTCACTAGGGTTACTTGAGTAGTAGCATTCCAACAGATCCACATTTTCATCTCTCGCCCATTTCCGTCTTGTTCCAGTAGCCATTTGTCATCAAGGTGCTCTGGTTCCCCAACACCTGACGCAGACCTTGTTTGGCCGGGCGACGTCTGAGCCGGCATGTTATGCAACTTAGTATCTCTCATGGTATGAGGTAGGCAGTAGCTTGAAGGGTCTTGCCTAAGGACCCAGACTGGATTCGAACCCTGCCCTCTCGGGTGATATACTGATGCCTTATGTATTGAGCTATCCAGTCATATATATATATATATATATATATATATATTATATATATATATATATATATATATATATATATATTATATATAAGTTCATGTTGTACTGAATCTTAGGATGCAATATTGGATGTAGGACTTGACCCTTTTTTTCTCTTTTTCAAACGATGGAAGAATTTGTGTTTTTATTCAAATGAACCAACTTATTAATATCGGCGTGTTTACAGTTACAGGTATATTCTGCTGCGGCGGACGGTTCAGCCTCTGCTGAGGAGCCTATGGACATTATTATAAGAGTAATTGACCAGAATGACAACAAACCTATTTTCAACCTCTTGGGAAATGTGGCCGAGTCTTCATCAATAGGTATTGCTTTTGTATGTAACTTCAGTCCCATTAAACATGATGCAAATAAACCAACATTCACATCAAATGGATCACTTCCTATTAAGGGTGAAATAGAAATTAAATGTGCTTTTTATTTACTTTGTCTAGAGTAAAAAGGGTCCATGTGGGCCCTTTGATGACAGGACTCCGAATCTGAAGACATCAAATGGGAAATAAGAAATAGTCTCTCAGAATGTTCTTATTTTGTGCTTCAAATTTGACCAATAGATGAATTATTTTCCCAAACAGACTAAAGGCCCATTTTGGTCGCAAATCAATAAACAAAAGTTGCCAGTTTTACTATTTGCCCAACCAGCAGTTAGATCTTTAAATAGTTCATGTCTCCTTGTTCATAAAATATTCAGACTAGACAGACTCAGGATTTATCTGCTCTGTAGTGATTACATGTCATTTGACTGACTGTCTAATCTGAGAAAAAGCTCGGCTCCTCCAGATTGAGCTGGAGAGAGACGCTGGGTAAAGAAACATTAGAAGTTACCTCTCCAACCCTGATTAAATGAATGAGAGGTTTGTGACCTCATTAAATGGAGGGAGTCGTTCTTTCAGGCCTACTAGAAGTTAAAAATTGCAGCCAGCTTCCCAGGAATGCATTTCATTTCCTTCTATGTGATGCTTCTCTTCAGGCTCTGAGGTGGTGAAGGTTATGGCAACAGATGCTGATGAGCCACACAGTCCCAACTCAGACATCCGTTATCGCATTGTGAGCCAGGAACCTCAGCAACCAAATCCATCCATGTTTGTCATACACCCAAAGACTGGAGCCATCACAGTCAGTGCTGCTGGCCTGGACAGACAGGTGAACTTTTAAACATGTTGATATTATCATAATTCTGAAATAAGTTGTGTAGCTTAGTAGGAGAGATAAATAACTGCTAATGTATTGAACAAACACAAACTGTTTTTGCCTTTTGTAATGGACCAATTTATTGTGACAAATTGGTTTCTACAGATAATATTTGATATATATGACAGCATGACATTATTATTATTGAGCTCCTACATGTAATCGCTGAGAGCTTTCTAATTCAAATTTGACAAAATTGAGTTTGGTTTAAACTTATCAAAACGATGCCGTAAATCTTTAGGATTTCTTTTAAAGGAGCTCTTTCCTGTAATTTCATTTGAAATAAATTAAAATATGAGCCTGAATCCCGACAGAAATACCCCGAGTATACCCTGGAGGTGGAAGCAGCAGACATGAACGGGGAGGGACTTTCTGCATTAATGAAAGTAATGATCTCTGTAACTCCTGACACGGAGCTCCCTGTAAGTACAACCTGCAAACCTTCTACAAAATGCATACAGGACAAAACATATCAGTCAATGTCTTATTGTTGGCGTTACGAGTGGAGAGATAAAGTTGCAGCAAGCTGTAAAAAGAAAAACAGAAAAGCGGAATCTGCTTAAATAACCTAAATGTGATAAAGCAGTAATTAGCATCACTTTGTATTTTATTAGGCTGCCCAAGGAGGAGGGAGGAGCAGGAGGAATGCAGATCCAAAGATTCATCATTCTCTTCAGAGAAAATGTTACCAAATCTGTTACCTCTGTCTGTAAGTTCAACTAGAAGAACTAAATTGAACTTGTTTTTCTGTGGCTCATCAAAACTTTGTCGTTGGATAAGGTTTTTTACTGACCAGCTGTCTCGTTTTCATGTAGCTGTGTTCAACTTTCTGAATTTTCACAACTTGCAACAATGTAATTTTCTTAGCATAATAACAGTCCCATACAAGTGGCTTGTGGCACTCAGGTCTATGTGGTGCTTTATGATTGTACCATCAACTTGTGTGTTTTGTCCTGAACGTCCCATCAATACAGTATTTGAAAGTCAAGATTGAAAGGAAACAGATTGACAGGAGATGGTTTTAGGTTTCAAAAGAACGTTTGACCAAAAAAGACACTCCAGCCATGCAAACAGTATTTGCATCGTTGGAGAAGAAATGGAGGTGGTGAGTAGTAGAAATAAAACTCTGTGTTTACCTTTTCCATCTTTACAACACACTGACATGGAGAGATAACAGTGTGGGAACAGAGGAGACCGGACTAAAAATGTGGCAGCTCTTTAAGTCTGTTTTCTTTCTATGCCGTTCTGTTTTCCTCAAAGTTTGAAGAAGGAAAAAGGAGACGGAAGAGAAGCTGGATTATTCCTCCCATCAGTGTTCCTGAGAATAGCAGAGGCCCGTTTCCTCTGTACTTTGCCAGGTGAGAGGCAGATGTACCGTAAATGTTTCTGAACTAAAAGAGCTTTGCCAAGAAAACACAGTGCTTTAACTGATGGTGCTTTGCAGGTCTACTCTGACAAAAGTAAAGTGGCGAAAACCATTTACAGCCTCCGTGGTCCGGGAGCAGATCAGCCTCCTGTTGGTCTCTTTACCATGGACAGAGACACTGGCAATCTGTATGTAACACAGGCACTGGACAGAGAGAAAAAAGACAGACATTGGTAAGCATGTTATATGAAGAAAGGTCTTTTTGCTGCACTTTCACAGCCTTTAATGTTGTAAATATATATATATATATATAAGTTCATGTTACTGAATCTTAGGAGCAATATTGGGATGTAGGACTTGACCCTTTTTTCCTCTTTTTCAAACGATGGAAGAATTAGTGTTTTTATTCAAATGAACCAACTTATTAATATCGGCGTGTTTACAGTTACAGGTATTTCTGCTGCGGCGGACGGTTCAGCCTCTGCTGAGGAGCCTATGGACATTATTATAAGAGTAATTGACCAGAATGACAACAAACCTATTTTCAACCTCTTGGGAAATGTGGCCGAGTCTTCATCAATAGGTATTGCTTTTGTATGTAACTTCAGTCCCATTAAACATGATGCAAATAAACCAACATTCACATGAAATGGATCACCTCCTATTAAGGGTATAATAAAAATTAAATGTGCTTTTTATTTACTTTGTCTAGAGTAAAAAGGGTTCACGTGGGCCCTTTGATGACACGACTCCGAATCTGAAGACATCAAATTGGAAATAAGAAATAGTCTCTCAGAATGTTCTTATTTTGTGCTTCAAATTTGACCAAAAGATGAATTATTTTCCCAAACATTTGCGCCCATTTGGTCGCAATCAATAAACAAAAGTTGCCAGTTTTACTATTTGCCCAACCAGCAGTTAGATCTTTAAATAGTTCATGTCTCCTTGTTCATAAAATATTCAGTCTAGACAGACTCAGGATTTATCTGCTCTGTAGTGATTACATGTCATTTGACTGACTGTCTAATCTGAGAAAAAGCTCGGCTCCTCCAGATTGAGCTGGAGAGACGCTGGGTAAAGAAACATTAGAAGTTACTCTCCAACCCTGATTAAATGAATGAGAGGTTTGTGACCTCATTAAATGGAGGGAGTCGTTCTTTCAGGCCTACTAGAAGTTAAAAATTGCAGCCAGCTTCCCAGGAATGCATTTCATTTCCTTCTATGTGATGCTTCTCTTCAGGCTCTGAGGTGGTGAAGGTTATGGCAACAGATGCTGATGAGCCACACAGTCCCAACTCAGACATCCGTTATCGCATTGTGAGCCAGGAACCTCAGCAACAAATCCATCCATGTTTGTCATACACCCAAAGACTGGAGCCATCACAGTCAGTGCTGCTGGCCGGACAGACAGGTGAACTGTTAAACATGTTGATATTATCATAATTCTGAAATAAGTTGTGTAGCTTAGTAGGAGAGATAAATAAACTGCTAATGTATTGAACAAACACAAACTGTTTTTGCCTTTGTAATGGACCAATTTATTGTGACAAATTGGTTTCTACAGATAATATTTGATATATATGACAGCATGACATTTTATTATTGAGCTCCTACATGTAATCGCTGAGAGCTAATTCAAATTTGACAAAATTGAGTTTGGTTTAAACTTATCAAACGATGCCGTAAATCTTTAGGATTTCTTTTAAAGGAGCTCTTTCCTGTAATTTCATTTGAAATAAATTAAAATATGAGCCTGAATATCCCGACAGAAATACCCCGAGTATACCCTGGAGGTGGAAGCAGCAGACATGAACGGGGAGGGACTTTCTGCATTAATGAAAGTAATGATCTCTGTAACTCCTGACACGGAGCTCCCTGTAAGTACAACCTGCAAACCTTCTACAAAATGCATACAGGACAAAACATATCAGTCAATGTCTTATTGTTGGCGTTACGAGTGAGAGATAAAGTTGCAGCAAGCTGTAAAAAGAAAAACAGAAAAGCGGAATCTGCTTAAATAACCAAAATATGATAAAGCAGTAATTAGCATCACTTTGTATTTTATTAGGCTGCCCAAGGAGGAGGGAGGAGCAGGAGGAATGCAGATCCAAAGATTCATCATTCTTCTTCAGAGAAAATGTACCAAATCTGTTACCTCTGTCTGTAAGTTCAACTAGAAGAACTAAATTGAACTTGTTTTTCTGTGGCTCATCAAAACTTTGTCGTTGGACAAGGTTTTTTACTGACCAGCTGTCTCGTTTTCATGTAGCTGTGTTCAACTTTCTGAATTTTCACAACTTGCAACAATGTAATTTTCTTAGCATAATAACAGTCCCATACAAGTGGCTTGTGGCACTCAGGTCTATGTGGTGCTTTTATGATTGTACCATCAACTTGTGTGTTTTGTCCTGAACGTCCCATCAATACAGTATTTGAAAGTCAAGATTGAAAGGAAACAGATTGACAGGAGATGGTTTTAGGTTTCAAAAGAACGTTTGACCAAAAAAGACACTCCAGCCATGCAAACAGTATTTGCATCGTTGGAGAAGAAATGGAGGTGGTTGAGTAGTAGAAATAAAAACTCTGTGTTTACCTTTTCCATCTTTACACACACTGACATGGAGAGACAACAGTGTGGGAACAGAGGAGACCGGACTAAAGATGTGGCAGCTCTTTAAGTTCTGTTTCTTTCTATGCCGTTCTGTTTTTCTCAAAGTCTGAAGAAGGAAAAAGGAGACGGAAGAGAAGCTGGATTATTCCTCCCATCAGTGTTCCTGAGAATAGCAGAGGCCGTTTCCCTGTACTTTGCCCAGGTGAGAGGCAGATGACCGTAAATGTTTCTGAACTAAAAGAGCTTTGCCAAGAAACACACAGTGCTTTAACTGATGGTGCTTTGCAGGTCTACTCTGACAAAAGTAAAGTGGCGAAAATCGTTTACAGCCTCCGTGGTCCGGGAGCAGATCAGCCTCCTGTTGGTCTCTTTACCATGGACAGAGACACTGGCAATCTGTATGTAACACAGGCACTGGACAGAGAGAACCAGGACAAGTACAGAGTAAGATGTTCTGATACTTCATTCTGCTGTCATGTAACATTTTTCAACTCCCTGCTGTCTACCAGAGGTCAGTGTGTGTTTAGTGGTCAGTGTTCAACCCTGTCAATTTTTCAATAAAACATCTGAGGACATATTAATATGGAGGAACAATTATAAAGTTATTAAAAATGTTCGGTTTGCCCAAGGAGATGATTGTCTTGCAGGAACACTGATTAAATACCTTGGATAGAAAGCGTTAAATGAAGCAGGGAAAAGCAAATGGAAGCGTTTCATAAACTCCCATGTTGAGCAACGGCCCTCGTGAGGTGAGCTAGTTCCACCCCCACAAGGAGGAAGTGAATTAAGAGTCACACTATTTGAGAAAACAGTGTACAAATTGCTCACCAACACATCTGTGTAAGCAACGCTACAACATGTGGCTGTCAGCAGCAGCTCTAGAGTCTGGAGCTGCATTGTCTGCCGAAGAAGCGTCACAGTCCAACCTCACTTCCAAGAGAAATCTCTGAGTGTTTCATCAAAGTTTCACAACATAAATCTCAGGAACGCTGCTGCCAGCCAGCAGGAGCTTTCCAGCTATTTTGACAAAAAGTTGATGAAAAAAATACTAACTGTACATTTCTTTGCAGAACAGGTTTTATGCAATTATTTCAAACCACCCAGCATGAAAGTTACTAACAGTCTCCTGGTGAAATGGGGTAAATATTGTAAACGTAATTGTGTCTCTGCAGTTAGAAGCACTTGCAGTGGAAGAAGGACAAGCTGAAGCATCTGAGACCATTGAAATAATTGTGAATGTCATCGATCAGAATGACAACAAACCAGTTTTCAGCAGAGACACCTTCCAGGGAGAAGTGCCTCAGTCCTCACCTAAAGGTACTCCTGTCAACCTGATGTGAGCTTGAAGAACAAGCACACTGGACACTTTTCTGTTAAGCCTGTCACGATACTCAATAAGCAATTAATCATATAATAAATTAAAAGAGATAAATAATTTCCTTTTGCATCATTTACTGTTTTTCTCTTTTCTACCAAAAATTGGACGACAAAAATCTTCTAATTTGTCTAAAACTAGCCGTTTATTTTGAAGGGAAATATAATTGATTTTATTGTTGTTTCTGTTATTTTATTTATGTTGTATATCAAAAATGTTTTTGAGTTCCAGGGTTTAAATGTCCATTGCAATTGAAAGTTTATTCATCTTTGAGAATGCGTTCTTCCATTATCATTATGTTACTTAAAATTGGCCTCAAAACAACAATATTGTTGTTTATTGCAATAACTTGCAAACAAAATTTGACCAGGGACAGTATATGCCCTGACAGACCTGATCTCCATGCAGGTTGTTTGCAGTGACCTGAGGCTCTAATGCAGCAACATCTCAGCTAATCCTGGATGCTGGAATACACAAATAATTTCATAGAAATACACCTGTGCAAATATATCAAAGTATCCATCCATCCATTTCTAACACCCTTGTCCTGGTGGGTCATGCTGGTGTCTGTCTCCAGCAAACGTTTCAGGCGAGAGGTGATCGCCAGTCCAAGTTTGGAACAACTACCAAACCTGTTGGTAACGTGGCATGGCCAGGCTCAAGTAGCAATTTGGTCGTAACTGCAGCTGCAGATGAAACTGGTAAATGGAGTCTGATAGACTGCAAGTCACAGTCAAACTCACCGTGTTCCTGGCAATTTGTTGTCACATTCATAACCAGGAAAGCAGGTACAACAGACACAGAAGGTTGTACTGAATCTGTGAAATGTTCAGATTCACGGATCTGAATCTGTGAACCAGATTTGCAACATATTTAAGTCTCTGCACTTCATCTCAGATTTGGTGTTTTTTCTTCTCCTCCAGAGGGTTTTGTGTTTCATTTCTTTTCTGTGACTCTTACCTTCAGGTTTTGAGGTGATGACGGTTCAGGCCACAGATGCTGATGAGGGCAATTCGGACAAACCGATGTCTGCTATCGCATTATAAGACAAGAACCCGAAGAACCAAATCCTTCCATGTTCGCAATCAACTCGACTACTGGGCTTATCACAGTCGACGCTGCGGGGTCTGGACAGAGAGGTGACGTCTAACAAAAACAACACAACCACTTTTGTAATGTAAAGCTCCAGCAAGCTATCGCTTTCCTTGATAAAAACTCTTGTGCAGTCTACTTTAAGGAATATAAAATGTACAACAGGGAGATGCACAATGTCATATACATCTGCTGTTGTCTTTATTCCTGCTGCTTATAAATCTAAGAATTTGTAAAAAAAAAAAAAAAAAATGAATGCAATGAATGTAAAGAATGAATGTATGAATTAAATAGATGTATGAATTAATGTCAATCAATCAGACCCATAAGATGCCCCATGTTCGCACTCATGTTTTCACATTTCGTGGCATCACAACCTCAAACTTGTGTTTTTAATTGGGTTTTGTGGGACAGAACTAACACAACGCAGTGCATCACTGTGGAAGTCACAGCACACAGTCATGGCAACAGTGGAAGTGGACGTCATTTATCAGATGGTTTTCACATGTTTTCATCAAAACTGACAACTGTGTCATATTTTCAGCTGAGTCAATACTTAGTGGACTGAATCACACCAGGCTGGAATCTGCTGGCTCAGGCCTTTCACAGCATCCATCAGGTTTTTTCTGACAGGATTCTCCTGTTTAGCTCCATTTATCTGTCGTATTGGTACTGATCAAATAGACCCCCACACCAACCACTCTTCCCACTCGGTGACTTCTTCTGTGATTAGTTGCACTTTTCCATTAGAACCGTAATTGTTTTTTTACATTCTGATGCAGTTTAGAAAGCATCTGTTAGGAAGCTCATTGTAAGAATTGCACAATCCTGCATTTCTGTGCAGTCTGTTAGCTTTTTGTGCCAGTGAGATTGTAAACAAGTCGCTGCATCTGTCGTCACAGAAACACCCGCAGTACACACTCACAGTGGGTGCTGACATGAGAGGCCTGGCCTGACTGGAGAGCCAAAGTCATCCTAACTATAACCGATGGTTCTTCTTCCCTGTGAGTACGACGCAGCAAGCATTGAAGAACGGACATGGAACCTGTGGCTGTCACTGAAGGCTTTGTGCTCCAGGCTGGCTGGCTGTTTTCTGACATTACAGTTCCTGAGAAACAGAATCGGACCTTCCCTTTACGGGTGGCTAAGGTAACTTCTCTACACCTCCTTTATACTGTGCATCTGTGTCATCGAAAATATGTTTTGAAAAACATGCAAAGGCGCATGCGTGTCTGTACCATTGTGATGAAAAACGTCCTGCAATAAAGAACAGAGCTCAGTTGTCAGGTGAACACACAGTTCTCGCATTAGATGTTTTAAACTAATATTCTGTAATATATTTATAATTATAGCCTAATAACTAGCATTGCTGTCAGCTTATTGGTCCCTGTATCATTTGCACCAGCTACGCTTTAATTGATGATGAAACACAGAAGATCCTTTACAGCATCACTGGTCCGGGAGCAGATCAGCCTCCTGTTGGTCTCTTTACCATGGACAGAGACACTGGCAATCTGTATGTGACACAGGGACTGGACAGAGAGAACCAGGACAAGTACACAGTAAGATGTTCTGTACCTTCATTCTGCTGTCATGTAACATTTTTCAACTCCCTGCTGTCTACCAGTAGGTCAGTGTGTGTTTGGTGGTCAGTGTTCAACCCTGTCAATTCTTCAATAAAACAACTGAGGACATATTAATATGGAGGAACAATTATAAAGTTATTTTAAAATGTTAAATTAACAAACAAAATGTAATCAGTCAGCAAATGTCATCCAAGTCTCAAAACAGGATGATGCAGACTGATTTTACCCTGCATGTTTTTTTTTTTTGTTTTTTTTTAACAAAATCACTGACTTGACTTTGACGTCCCTGTACGATCTTAAGCATCCAAACAGTTTCAGAGTCATTTAAAGGCACAGAGTGCTTAACAATTGGCTGTTCGTGATCCGGCCTCTGTGATTGTGATAATAGGCATGTTGCATCACAAGTCTATGTGAGTGAAATGAAAATCCTTAATATGAGGTGATTAAAAATGGCATCTCTGGTGTTTCCATGCCTTTCATTTAGTTTTTCCAACCTCTGCAATACGCCTGACTGTATGAAAAATGCTCTCTAAATAAAGTTTGATTGGTGCAGCCATGAAGTGTTTCTTATCGCGTTTACTTTGACGCTGAAAATGAGACACTGCATTCCAGTCGGTTTGTGCAGTTGCAGGTAAATGCTGTGGCAGAGGATGGAGGGGCGACAGTCGGACAGATGCAGGCTGTGGTCAAAGTTGCCGACCAGAACGACAACTCACCTGTTTTTTAATAAAGTCACCTACGAGGGAGAAGTGCCTGAAGCCTCACCCATAGGTACGCTGACAGCAGGGTTCAATGACTGAAACAAAGAGAAAGTAGGAAAGGAGAAATGTCTTCTGCTGTTATCTGTTGGGATAGCAACATCATAGCCAGTGACTTTGAATTAATTTTTGATTTAAAATGGGAAAATACAGCACATCTCACTGAAGGAGAGATGTGCTGCACCAGGTTATAGCTACCAATGCTAATATTGCAAGAATAATTCCTTTTTGGGATTTATTATTTTGGAAGAAAATTCAAGCATTTCTGCTCCCACAATGCATCATAACATCTTTGTCATGATTCTCACAAAAGAAAAGAAAATGTTATGATTGATGGACACTGCACTGTGAGCAGATATATTTCTGATTTGCTAACGTTGAGCACTGCAACACAATGCCTTCTCTTCGTTTCCTTTCTTCAGGTTTCGAGGTGATTAAAGTGGAGGCCACAGATGCTGATGAGCCAAATACTGAAAACTCAGAGATTCGCTATAGCATCATGAGCCAGGAACCAGCGGAACCCTCCATGTTTACCATCAACCCGGTTTCTGGAGCCATCACTCTGAGTGCTGATGGACTGAATAGAGAGGTACTCCTTAAAAACCGAGCTTCCCAGCTGAAATGATCAGCCTGTGCTCAGTGTTGCAGCTGCTCTGATGGCCTCACTCCTGTCTCCTCCAACAGAAACACCCTCAGTTCACTCTGATGGTCAAAGCGGAAAACTCTGCTGGCGCCACTTTATTTGCGCAAGTTAAAGTAACTCTGACCGTGACAGCAAACTCTGTGAGTACAACCCAGTTATTGACTGCATGACTGACTTTTTTTTATTCTGGCTACGTCACTGCTTCTCAATTTCAGTCCTCTGGCCCATCACGGCTCATCACGCTTTTATTTTTGAAAACCGACACACAAAATGAAACAGTCACGTGACCCATGCAATGTGAGGCATCACCTGTTGCTAGTCACGTTACCTGACACAAGCGTCGAAGCAGGGCTTCATCTGACATGGTACACTCCTTGAAGCCTGGCTTCAGATGGCCCATCACCAGTGATGGGCTTAAATTGGGTTGAGAGGCAAATTTCAGACAGGAACCACGAGGTTGATTGCAGGTGTGAGTGAAGGGAGAAGGAGGCAGGCTGAGGAGGGAGAGAGAGAGATGTGACACTGGGGGTGAGGGAGAGCAGACAGGGAAATAGGAAATGAATCTAACACTACAGGATAACTTGACTAAAGAGACATGAAGAAATGAGAGTGAAAAGAAAAAGTATAAGGAATAAACATAGCTAGAAACACTAAGAAGGACTGAAGTAAAGGGAAACAAGAACAACACAGATCTAACTGAAATGTGAAAGTAACACAAAATAATAACAAAACTAGAATGAAATCAAACTACCAAAGCAACAACCTGAGAATATCTTCCCTGATGACATGGGAATCAGGGAAGATATTCAGGGAAGATATTCCCTGATTCCCATGCTTTGTGAAAGAGCAGCTCAGATAGCAGGAAACATGACATTCACAAATGGATCATCCAATCCAATCCACTCCTTCTAATCCATAGGCGTCCATGACTCAGGCTGGCGGAGCAAAGAGGAGGAAGAAGCGTTTTTCTGTCATGGAGAACTGAAAAGGAGCTCACCCATTACAGCTCACTCAGGTAAAAGGAAGTCCAGTATTTCATGTCTGAGAGTTTGATGCTGAAATGCAGTGTTGGATTGAGAAAGTCTCTTCTCCTAAAAAACGGCAGCGTGACAAAAACTGAGTCTGATTTAAGCACAGAACTTCTGGAACAATATTCTTTGGACAAGTGAGACCAGATAGAGATGAGGGAAATGGTCCTGATACTGACCCATAAACACCTGCAGCTGAAAGTCAAGCCTGGTGGTGGAGGACATGATGACATGTCCTTGTTTTGTAGCATCTTGTATTGAGTTGACTGCTTCAGAGTCAAGATCTATTTCATATCCTTACACTTCATATGTTCAAACCTACATATTCGATGTAGGTTTGAACACCTACATCGAATATGTCGAGTCCAAACAACCAACAGAAAAGGATCAGAAAAGGATCCATGAATATGTTGGACTTGCATTAGGCCATTGACGGCCTGATGGCTGTATTAGTTTAACCTGGATCCATCTCTGTATTGCTGGATCAGCTACGACATCCTCACTGTCCCTGTGACATGGTTGACCATCGCAGAGGATGAAGGCGTGGATACATTGAAAGGTTCAAGAGTCCCTGTCTGTCAGCGAATACATTATGATGATTACATTATGATGATGGTCTGTGGGAGGACTTGTGAGATGTAATGTGGGCCCTCTGTTCACTTCATTGCATTTCACTTGTGTAAATTTGTCTCTCTTGTCTCTGTAGATGAAGCTCCAGCTGCCAGTCAGCTCTGAGTTCAGTCATTGAACAGAAGTGAGATCTTCCTATATGAGGAGCTTTTCTGCTGCGGAGGAGACCTGACATGAAAATGTGTGTTTGTGTGAAAAGTGTGCTTAAGAGGAATCTTTGCTTCTCTCCATTTATTCTTAGTTGAACCATCTCTCAGGCATCTTTGCAGATTTTCATTTCCCTGAAAGTGAAACAAGAATGTGATTTTTTTTCTGCAGCTGTTGGTATCAGGTAAAGGTTTATAGCTTCTATTTGTTCCTCCACATTGTCTATATAGAGGAACATATGGTGATGTACCTGTATGACTTATAGGGTCCTCCATTAATTTGTCATGAATAATACTGTGTGATATGTAATCTGATCCATTTATGTCTCTAATAAACCTTTGACTGTTCTTCAAAAACTTTTAAAGGAGCATTCTGTAAATGTACATTTAGAATGTTGTTATTAGACATCTAATATTTCTAATGTTCTCCCATATTCCAGATTTAAGTGTTGGTGATTAGCATTGAGCATCATGAGGGGTCAACATAAGCACAGGCATGTTCACTAAAGTAGAATATTACTGAAAAGTTTATGCATTTCATTTTGTCAAACACATTATTATTTCCACACAGACTGACATTTTCAAGCCTTTATTTCTGTTGATTTAGATCATTTTCTGCATCCAGCTGATGAAAACATAACATTTAAAATTATAACCCAACATCAGACCAATAAAAATATTTTCAATATAAAAATGTTGTATAAAAAAAACGGTTGTTAATTTTAAAATCCACTTTTAATCTGAGAAACAAGCCGCATACGAACCAATATTCTAATTTATTGAATATTGCTGTGGGAGATAAAGGTATTTTCAAATGTCTATATGTCGTTTGTCTTTGCAAGTTTTTCTTTTTTGTTTTATCTTATGCTTCATACTTTTGTAAAACCTGCTTTGGAAATAAACTGTCTGTTTGCTGTTTCTATGTGTCATTGTTTACTGGGGCCGTTTCATGACTCAAACTTGAGTCTTTAAATGCAAATAAAATTTTGGTCTGTTTTGTTTCAACTTAATTCTGAACAAGTGTCGCATGTCTCAATACGTTTTAAAAGATTGATCAAATTCGGCAATAAATTTTGAGTTAATGGGCTAAAACAACTTGCTGGGCATATCACTTAGAAAGTCGGGTAAAGATTGAAATGGTTTCATTGTTTGTTGTAGCCACAACTCACAATGGAAAATTTAGAGAACTTCTCTGTCCACCTGGGGGGGAAAAATCTAACTAATATAAAAATGTTTTTGATGAAGTAATACATTTTTAGCAATCTCTTATCTCTCTATAGGATAGAAAAAAAACAATTTAAAATAAAAATATTAGCACACTCATAAAATGAGGTCAAACTCACTTATTGTAATTCTAATAAAATACTGTAACTTATTATTGAATTTGCTTTATTTTGGGGCTTTTGTTAGGGCGGGCCATTTCTGACCCATAGGACTGGGGGAGTAAACAGGATGTTAGGATCACACGAAGGTTAATTAGATTCATCTAAAATTTTATTTTTGTCTACTAAACCCTCTGGGTGTCGTTGGCAGACAAAGACACACATGAGGAAGAACCTGGTTCACCGTAGGACCTGACATCGTCACATCTGTGCTTGTCCAGCAGATGGAGATGAAGCCTGCTGTACTTGATTTGCAGATCTAAAGTCTGTTTTCAACACACCTTCAACAGACCTTTTGTTGGAGCTGGTTTTACTGGTTTGCGAATGTCCAGTCACACGTGGTCACACAAAGTTACCCAGTAACTGGTGACTCAGACTCTGTTGTTTTCCCGAAAATGTGTTTCTGCGAGTCGCGACCTGCCTGCCTGGTTTATCCGGGTTCTGCTTTGTTGCTTTGAGTTAAATCCAAAGCTAAATCTCCTGCAGCAGCGCTGCAGTCAGACTCAAAGAATCTACAGGACCAACTCTTAAACTGACTGTTGTACAAAAACCAACAGCACTAAAATCCTGGAGTAAAGCACATGATGAACATATCATGTGTGTTCATTAGTTAGTTTGTTCATTAGTTAGTTAGTTTTTGCTGAACGCAGATTAATTTTTCTTCTATTATGCAGACTCTGTCATGATGAGCAAGCTTGACCGTTTTTCTTTAAGTTCAAATACCAAAACATTCAGTCTTCAAGTCCTCAAGTGATCCATTAAGATAATGTGCTTTGTGAAATTTAGTTTCACAAAGCACTTCAGTCCAAATGTTGGACCTTAAAGGCCACACCATAAGGGTTTTCATGTGTTGTTGTTGTGTATCATTATCTCTGATCTTTTTATGTCTATGTGGGCCATGAGTCTGATGAATAAATCAGCCATAAAATGCTAAAAAAAAAAAAAAAAAACGAAAAACGTAAAAAACTTTGGAGAAGTCTGTCTCATATTCTACAGGCCTGGGCAGGTTAATGTCTTGATTAGAAACACATCAAACAAGCCGCATTGCAACAGTTGCCTTTTTCACTGAGGACATGTGAGTTTCGGATGCCTGTCTGTGCTGCACAGCACTGAGGATTAGGGATTGTTGGAGGTCAAAGATAAAAGAGTTATGGTTGACAGAAACAAAACAATGATTCCAAGCAGATCAAACCTGAGTAGCACATCCGTATAATTCACACCGATTAAAGACACTGATGGGGACGAGGATTTCTGCACGTTTCTGCTGCTAAAGCTAAAGTTTGGAGTAGATGGAGTTTTTCACTCATTTCTTCCTTAAGTTGGCTGCAGGTTGAATTTGATACTGCCTCCAGTAATTCACATATAATCCTTTCTTTCGTTTTCGTCACTCTGGTCGGACGGCTCCAAAACACTGGTATCACTCTGAGTCAGAGGAAACATGTTGGCAAAAGTATAAATTGCTTTCTTCTTCAATCTACCAGACATATGAATAATGTTGAACCAAACAGTATGTCTTTAGGCCTACTTTGTGTACAAATCTGAATATTGAAACAAAAAGGTCTCTGATGCTACAAGGTTCCAGGAGGATCGATGTCCTTCAGACTATTTGTAGTTCTTTACAAATAGAAAACTACAAATCTTCTCATTTGTTTTCTTTAAGTCAGACTCAGCAGTGTGTCAAAAAACAATATCAGTCTTGAAACTGAAAGCACAGCCTGCAGTGATAACGATCAAACCTGTGGGTATTACCGACACACCTTACCTGACGTGGTGTTCTTGGAACTGAAGTCAACCTCAGACGTGTCTGTGTGTGTCTGCTTTGGCAATGTTCTGTGTTCATAACAAGGAGCTGCAGGGTTAGAGCTGCTGTTTTGGACTCTGGCCTTTCCAGAGCCGAAAATGACCTTCCCATTGCTGAGCACCGAGAAATAAATCTACACTGTTAGAAAAAAAAAAAAAAAAAAAAACAACTACAAACATCTGAACATTTACACTAGCTTATTTTTACAACAGCAAATTACGGCTGTTCATCAGTCTCAGTATTTCTGCAGGACATTTACGTTACTGTATATTTTAAATAATGAGTAACTGAACTGCAAAGATCAGGAGTTTAGTTAAGTTGAGGGTAGATGCTGGTGGTTCGGTGCCTCCTGCAGCCTGAGTGAGGCTCGTTGTTCTACAGCCAGACTTCCATCTGCTTCTGCGACTCTTTTAACTTGTATCTGAAGTGCAGCGCAGCTGAACTGATACAGCTGAGAAGAAACTCATTGATGTCTTTTCATGCGGGGAACTGAACTGACGCTGAAGTGGAATGGTTGCTGTTCCTGCCCTGCTCCCCTGTCTGCTTGAACGGTGGATTTGATCCTCATGTTTACCGAGGTCGATGACTGTAATTGTAAAGAGCTGCCCCACCCACAGCTGTGGATGCATGACAATAGACGGCACACAGAGTTAAAGCTGCGGGGTGTGGCCTGGAGATTTGGTTCAGATACACATCACACAGCTCCTGTCCTCAGGCAGACTCACCGCACCACAGATTAGAGGGGATGTGTAATGTTGTCGTCTGTCCGGTCAGCCCAATGTTTTACAGCTCACTCTGTCACCTAAACCAGTACCGGATTAATATTTAAAGGATTACTTAAATGCAGAAAGTCTTTGGGGAATAATGAATGCTTCTTTGTGCGTTTAGCAGCTTTAGAGCAAATAAGGATTTGTACTGGATAAGAGAATCCTGAAGTCGTTCCTGGCAACTTTAGTTTGGTTGTTAAGTGTTGTATGAGCTACCATACTGACTACAGTAACACAAAGTAACACAAACCAAAAGACAACTTAACTTCAAGCACAGAGCTATAAATATATCCTGCTGATAAAAACTATTATTCCTGTTGTGAGGGTCGACTGAACAGCTGACTTTAAGGTACTGGGTTCAAAGGACGTAATTTGAGGAGGATGTAGAATAAATGTTATTTCTGCTCATTTGTGCTCATATCGGCTTTTCTATATGAGTACAAATGAGACATTTTTTCATTGGTTTGTTTTGTTTATGTTTGTTTGCAGATGTCCATTGAACAGCTGCATGTTCTGTGAGCTTCCTGACTTGATACTGAAACAAAAATTGATTTCAGTTTGATTTCAAGTTGTCATGTTCAAGTTCCAAGTCAAAGCAATCAGTGAGAAAATCTTCCCAATTTAGAAATTGGACAGGAAATGCTCAAAGTTTCCACACCAACCCTCACCTGTTCTGAAATGACTGCTGCATGCTGCCACTATATTTGCTTTTCTGTCAGTCGGTATGGAATCATCACATCTTTATGTGATTAATGCACCAACATTTCATGCTGTGCATCTCCTCCTGAGTAGAATGAATGTGTTTCTCCAGACTTCCATGAATTTCAAAGACACGTCAGAAACCTGATCTCATGCTACATAACGCAGGTTAACATCGATAAACAAAGGTTTGTCAATGCACAGTCAGCTTCTCTGCACCAGGAGGTTTGACATCTGTAAGTGGGTGTAAAATGTTCTCATTCCACTTTGTTGTCATCTCCATCGTTCGCAGGCTGGAAATGAACAGAGCCATGCTTCACACTAAAATATGTTCTTTATCAGACAATTCTTCAAGTCCTGTGAGTTTCTGTGACTCTTGTCTCACAAGATAATCTTGAGCTGTGACTTCTTGCAACTTATTTCAAGTCTGTGGTGTCCCACCTGTGTAACAACCCCCACTGCCAAACACACACACATACACACACACCTACACACACACACACACACACACACACCACACAACACACACACACACACACACCACACACACACACACACACACACACACACACACACCTTTAAAGCACCTAATAAAGAGGAAGTGGTAAAACATCATGTGTTAAAAATTGTTAAGTTAAAGTAGCTCAACTTCTGCTTATAGCTCTGGTTTCCATGTCTGCTTCAAATGTTAAAATTGATTTTTGAGCCAGTTTTATTTTGTCTGTCAAATCTGTTTTCAAAGTGATGGGAAATAATTTTCATATATTTGCATTGAAATGTTCAGTCAAATGTTTATTTCATTCTCATTTGCAGAGGCCAGACTTCATTTTAATGGTTCATTCTTTAATGTAAGTTTATTAAACTGGAAATAAAGAAGCAAAGCATTTGATGGACATTTCTACAGACATAGACACATTTTAGATCTATTGCAAAATGAGTGATTTAAAAAGTCTGCAATAATTGATAGAAAACTAGATTTTCTAATCATTATATATTCATATTTATTTTTGTCAAACTCCTTTCCTCTTTATTTTAATTTCAGCATGCAAGCACACATAAAACTCATGTTTCCAATTCACTCAGTATCAGTATGCAGCACTAACTCACTCATCATCTCAAGGGACTTTTATACGACAATAAAGCCACATTCTCTATATTCATACGTGTGCAAGCATGTGGTGATAATGAACAGTTGGTTGCATCGAATCAGAACATTTTATTAGTAGATCCAGCTTGAATGAACCATGGACACTCGATCTGTAAAGATAT